CTGCAAATTAGAATTATATTATTTAGGGACCATCTGCCAAAGGATACTTTTTTGGGAAGATTAAGCGTAGACATGTAGTGCTTTATAAACATGTTAACATTAGGCCTGTGCGAAACAGCAAGTATTCGCTTCGGATCTGGATTCAGCCGATTCGGAGGGACAGCGATTCAATTCCGTAATTTGAATCACTGTCCTGATTTGATTTGGCCGATTCAGATTTGGAGACTCGGTGCCAATTCAGAGATTTGGTCATAGACTATAACGGGGATTCACTAAAATATACTAAAATACCTATAACTTTGTCATTTTTTTTGCAGATTCGGATGAAAACAGCAGGGATGGCAGCTCCTTCTGAGGGCATGAAACCTGCCAAGTTTCCAGGAGATAGGTGCAGGGGTTTCTGTGAAAGTGCACCTCAAACTGCTGAAACTCAGAGAAAGGGAACTCGGAGAAACATCAGTCACTGGTCAGCTACAGATGTCAAAGCAGATATCAAAGCAGTCTTCCCCCACCCCACCCTCAGTCTTTTCCATATATGGAAATCACCCCACCCCCCTCCCTTTTCTCAGATTCTGTTTGCTGCAAGCCTTCCAAATCTCCAATCTCTCCGAATTGATTTCATGGCTTCTGATTCGATTCGGACCTTTAATGGGTCTCCTGATTTGATTTGGATTTGGAGATTTGGCTGCCGAATCGGGCCAAATCTCCTCCAAATCGAATCGGCTACCGAAGCTTTGCACAGCCCTAGTTAACATATCAGCAGGCAAAATCTTTACAGTTCTGCTCTCTGAAGTTTAAGTGTCCCTAGAATGCAATTGTGCAACAAAGGGACTTTTCTAGAATGAGATTTTCTGTGACTGAATTATTTTAGTGTTACAGCACTTAAAAGTCTAGACTAAGATTTAGTATAAGGGAAATAAATATTTTCCTGAATTGCTGTGTTCTACTAACCTATAATTGAAACTTGTCTGATCTATCATAGACCACTCAAGTGTTCATTCAAGTATAGAGGCTTTGGGCAAAATTACTGAAAAATATCCTCTTCTAGGTATAGGATGAATTAACCTTCATTATGAAGTGCTACTTTGTCCTCCTAAAAATGTATTGTGGTTTTTCTTTTAAACAGACCTCAGACTCTTCTTCATGAGAAGGAAACCTGTCTCTATGGAAAGCACATGCAGGAAGCAAGAGTCCTTCAGCTTGAAAAGATGGGTCCTAAAACCTGTAGCACTGAGATAGATAAGATTTGGAGTGGTAAGTTGTTCTGTTGATTTAAATAGTTACCTACCTCAGGATAACTTTGGTACTATCAGACTTTCCAGAGAGTAAAATAAGCCTGAATTTAAGATGTCATTCAAAATAGAACAGGACAAGAAACATTATGGTGGGAAGACTTAGGCTTATGTCTAGGCCAGCGGTTCCCAACGTGGTGCCCACGGGTGCCATGGCACCTGCTGAGGTTTATTCAGGTGCCCATGTGCATTTTCACGATCAGTAAAAATCATTATTTCAACAAAAAATGCTGCTGTTATCAATTAAACTCAGGCTGTATGCAATGGCCGACAAAATGAGGCTGAGTCAGTCTGACTGACGCAGTGACGGAGTGGTGCTTACTACTCCCTCCCCAAATAAAAATATGCGCATGCACATATTCAGGATTCTAAATGTTAATATTCATATTGGCATCCGCTGCTCTTTTAAAAAATGTGAATGTTCCCTTGGGCACACAAACATTAGGAACCCCTGCTCTAGGCTCTTATGTATGGAATTCAGAAGAGCTGGAATGGCTAGTTTTCTAAGTATCTATCTTCATACTAGCAAAATAATTTTCATATAATATTGAGGTAGATAAGGACCTACACCAAATTAACAGAAACTCTACTACATTGTAGGAATATTCTGTTTTGTTTAGGACTTGCCATGCAATAGTTGATCTATTGGACTCAATCTAAACTGAATATAGGAGCAGGTGTTAGTAGAGCTGAGGCTTGTTGCAGGCAGGTAAAGAGAACAATTGTTCAACTGCTCCTCTAGGAGCCTCTTGCCAGTGAAAACCAACCTTTTTGACAGGAATACCACAAATTAATTACTGTGCCCTCCCTAAGTGCCCCTATAATCCCCTTCCTATTTGTTGCTTGGCTTTGCACTTCCCACCATATCTACCATCCCCCAGCACCATCCACTCTAGACTATTTAGAGAAGCTAATGTCAAAATCAACACCTCAGGAATATTGTGGAGGGTGGAGGAGAAATTAAAGAGGGACATTTTATATCAAAAATAGCAATTTCCATAGGTGACTAATTCAGATCTGGAATACAGGCTGGAATACACAGACAAGTTTCTGCCAGGTGTATAAATGTTAAAAGTTCTTCTGAAGAAATTCCAACAATAGTGGAAACCTAGGAATTTTTTCTCTTGACAACTATTTGGCCTCTTGAGTTGTAAGAGAGCCTAGAATGCTCTTGATCCTTTTCTTAACAAGAAATCAGCTGGAATAAGACCACTTGTCTTGAGGGGGTTTCTAAGATGGAGGCTTTCAGGACCACTTGATGTTTTGTCAATTTCAAGGTAGAAGAAGTCAAGATGAAGGGATGTAGAGAACCCTTCCAGGAGTTCCAGGATGTTTATCTATCCTTCTGGCTGAAGATAACTAAACCAAGATGTCCAAGAAGAGACAGCCCCACACAATATATTTCTACCCATAGCCAAGGTATGGAATTTAATGGTTTGTCAACAGAACTCCAGATGCTCTGCCTCTTCTTGACCTGATAGCAAATGCTACAGAGTATTGCTATATGCAGTTTAAGGGGGATTTTAGTAAGACCAAATCTGATAGAAATAACATGTCTTGCAGAAGATGAAGAAAAGTCAAATCAATTTTAGCGCATTCATTACATCTTAGCTCTTTTCTGAGAGAAGAGTCAAATCCCCCTAGCAATATACACATGCAATGAAGTTGTGTGGGCATATTTTGGCAAAATTTGATTCAAAGTTCAAACAGCAGATTTCAATTAAGATTTTAAATTCTCTTGCTGACATTTAAAAGGCTAAGTACCCCAGACACTCACCATCACAGGAAATGGCAATGTAATGTGCCAAGTTATCAGCCACTTGCTGAAATACATTTTTGTCCATTATGAAGCCTGACAAAATCCAATATTCTACTACAGTTCCAAGAATTCCATTCAGGAGGCTAGATACTTCATGTTTCAACATCTAAAATGGAAGAAACAGTATTTGTAAGACAACTTTATGAAATGCAAATTAAAATGGATAGTGTATTGTTAACAGTATTGGAGATTATAACCCAGCCTCAGTCAATAACAGTACAAAACATGGTTAAGGATCCTAGACTACTGCTCTAGCTGAGGTTGTGCATCATATAGCATTGGCTCATATTAGATTCATCATACATGAGATCCAATATAAAAAAGGCACCTACCAAAGTAACACACAGTAGTCTCCTTGAAAGTAGTAGTTGCAGGCTTTCAATGTGAAAAATATGGCACAAGATTATGGGGACCTGGACTATATTAAATAATAGGATATATGCTATGTTTCAAAATGTTTCTTGAATATTCATTCAAGAATAAGATATAATTGAAGATCAGTTTATCATAGTTAAAAAGAATTCCATCACAGAACCGGTGACAGAAAAAGTACGGAGTTTCATCAATAAATCAAGTGTAGGCTTATAGAAGAATAATAGAGACTGGGTGTGTCTACACAAGATGCTTTACTCAAGATTAGCACATATTACTGAGCAGTAAGCATCACTGTCTACACATACAAATGCTTACTGCACAGTAGTTTAATCATGAGTAAATTTGCTATCTGTAAATACAAGTAGCAAATTTACTCACAATTAGTTACTGTGCAGAATGGCATCTGTAGATGGCTGACAGGGAGTAAACTTGCTCCGAGTCAGCCAGGCAGCAGGGGGTGGGAGATTGCTCCCTGCCCTTGGGAGCTGCCTGCTGCCAGGGCAGACTCACCCACTGGAGCCTGGGTGGTGCCAGTGTCCCCCTGCCCGGGCAGCAGGGAGCTCCTGGCCCCTGCATTGCAATCACAGAGAGGGGGCTGGGAGCATCCTGCACAGGGATAGTTCCCTGCCCAGCTTGAAACTGTCTGGGACCTGCCCCTGACCAGGACAGTTCCTGGTCAGCCCTGGGCTGTGTGGGGAAGTCTGCGAGTGTACCTGCAGGGGAGCTCCCCGCCCAGCCAGGTGCTCACTGCGAGCTGCTCCTCTCCTGTAGCTCTTTCCAAGCCCCCTACCCCCGACTGGGGAGCCAAGGGTGGGAGCTCCTTACTGCTGGGGCAGGGGCAGCAGGCAGCTCCAGGGGGTAGGGAGCAATCTCCTAGCCCCCACCAGGAGACAGCTGTTTCCTGGCCTCATACTTTCTGCCAGCATCTGGGCTAGCACCCAGGGGGAGTCTAGAGCTCTTCTTGGCTGCTGCAGGGGGCCAGTGCAGAGCTAGAGTGGGTGGGAGCAGACTGCTGCCAGGAGCAATGCATCCCCACACGTATAGACACCTGCCCAGGGTGGGTTTACTCTGTAATAATTTACTCTAGCATAAACCCAGCCCACAGCATTTGCACATGTAGATGCACCCACTACGACTTGGATCAGATTTGCTTAACAAGATATCTGTGAACCACAATGATACACACACACATACGCACACACACCACAGAGTTCATAAAGGTAATAAGCAGGGAAATTGTCTTCTTTGTCTTGTCAAAATAAAAGAAGTACATACAATTAATTATCTATTTAATTCTTTACTATGTTAAGTTTCTCTTCATCTTTGCTATATTCTAATTTACTTTATATGAACTGAGGGAACCTTCCTCATGATAAAACAGGGAATTAATTGGGCAGGGTGAAAAAATGGACAGAGTATTTCAGCTTGATATGTAAAATGAATTTTTCTTTTAAAGATTTAGGAATTAAAAGCAGGAGAAATATTATCTTCAAGGAATAGGCTTTTACGTGCTGTAGGGCTTTTAAGAACCTGCTCTCAACTTGTACTACTAATGTATCTTCTGTCCTAGGACCACAAATTATATGTGTGAACAAATTATTGCTATCAATAACCCCTTGTAATTAATAAAATGTCTATAAACACAGCAGATAACTTCTTTTTGCTAATTTTAAGCAACTTTGTTAAGGTTGCACTTGAAGCCTAGGGTAGATCTTTAAGCACAGAGCAGATATTCTGCTTCCCTCTCTGCTCCCTAACCACTACTTGCTAGCCACAACTACTATCAGAAAGAAATGTCAGCAATCTTGAGGTTACTCTTAGAGCAAATGGCTTATAAAACAGAGTTGCAGAACAATTTGGCAGATGCCACAAAGTCCACCCACATGTTCATAATTTAATCTATCACCTTTCAGCACTGCCTAATGAATTTTTAGAATCCTGATAATGAAATTTAATGCTATGATGTCACCTGGAAAGCTGTCATACACTGCTGGTTGACATTATCATAAAAACATTAACATAAACAAGGGGCTTCAGCTTAGTTAATGTTCTTAAATAAAGATTCCAATGGTACCAATGAGTAAAAATGTCCCATTAAAGTAATATCTGTAAGAATGCATGAAACTATTTTAAATAAAAACTGCCAGAGGGAAAGTGATATACATTAATGAAAAAGTACATGTAAAGAAAAAAATTAACTTTACTTCCATATTAAACATGGAATTTGCTACTAGGTGTGGCAACAATCTCTCCTCAGTCACAAATACGCTTCTGCTTATTATTCATAATAGAAAATTTCAAACCAAAACACCACAATAATCTATGCTTTTTACAATTCTACACTTTCTAAGCAATTTCATACTTGCAACAGTTCTTGTGCAATTTAATAAACTTTATCTCCTAAAATCAAATAAAAAGAAAACTTTATAAGTAAAAATACATTATCAATAACATTTTAGTACTTTAAAAAATAAGTTAGAACCTTGTAGAACTGAGGATTTGTATCTTAATTGCTAATGAAACCAACTGTTTATTCTTGTAATTGTTTCATTTTAGGATCTAGGTGTGTTTTCATACTGTATGAAGCTTATATATATATGAAGCTTATATATGAAGCTTATATACCTAGAATCATAATGTTAAGTCTGTAAAAATTATATGGTATTTACTTGATTAAAACTGTCATTTTAATAAACTTGAAAAAAAGTAACAAAATATATGGGGGAACAAGATTTTTTACACTTTTAGCTAGATAAATAATTTGATTTTTAATTGGTGACTTGTGGCATTCACCTTCAGTGAACTGGAATGTAACATGTACAAAGACTAGTGGACTGAGCCCTAAAGTTTGCTGCTGTATCTCTGCTTGAAACAAACATCGGTTTGAAGATGATTAATTCTGTTTGGGTCACATGTTAATCAACAAATGACAGCAGAAAAATATGTTCTATAGCAGTGGTGCTCAACCTTTTTGCCCTGTGGGCCAGATGGACAGTGCCTGATCTGCCCATTGGTTAGATCCAGGTGGTGGGCCCAATCTGGTGCACAGGGCTGCCACAGGAGGCCTGGCTGTGCATGGAGGGCAGAGGGTGAGGAACAGACTGAATTCAGTCTGGCCATGTGGAGGTGGATGTGGCCTAGCTGCAATCTGACTATACAGGGGATGGGGTGTGACCCATCCCCAATCCGGCTCTGCGGGGAAAGGAACATGGCTAGCTCTGTTCTGGCCATGTGGGAGAGGGCCTGTGGCCTGGCCCTGGTTTAGCTGCATGGGGAGGAAAGGGGCAAGGCCGAGCCCTGATCTGGCTTGGTCATCACTCCCCCACTGCCAAATTTCCCAACTTGTGGGAAGCCTAACAGGTCAGATGTCTTGGCTCTACAGGCTGTAGGTTGAGCCCCTCTGTTTTACAGATGTAATGAAATCTACTGCATTTTCATCCTTGAAGTATCTTTAAAACTTCATTCCTGAAAAGGGATCTTACTGCTATAAGAGTTTTAATTCACAGTTGGAAGTATGTTCAGAATGTTTGTTTCCCTCCTTCCCAATGAATTTAAAGTATAAGCAATGAAATGACCACTTCTTTTCCAATTCTCATCCGTCAGACATTTCTTCCTTGCCCTTATTACTGTACTTTGACAATTTAACTCACTGGCAGAAACTGGCAGCTAGGGGAATTGATGAGAAGAATTGGCAGTGGTGAGTGAAGGAGTAGCTGACCCTGCTACAGTGGGGCATAAACCCATGAAGCTTAGGAAACACTGTAAGTGGTATCTTAGCATTATGAAAAGCTATGCTGTGGAATGCTACCGTCGCTTTATGAACTATACAGATGTTGTGCTTTATATTCTGGAGTTGACTTCATTTTCTGGGCCTGATTCATCATGGTACTACTCCAGTTTTATACAGGTATAACTCCATGTATAACAGTTATAAAACCATCCGGTATTAACAGTTACTCTAGGTATATACTTGCATAGCTACACTGAATTCGATATGAACATAAGAAATGCCATACTGCATCAGACCAATGCTCCATCTAGCCCAGTATCCTATCTCTGACAAACAATTCATGCCTTAGAGGGAAAGTGTATGTATAGGGCATGTGTAATCCATTCTGTCATACCCTCCTTGTCATGAACCACCAGAGGTGATAACCTCTGATGTCAGAGAATGCATCCATGACTTCTATTTAGTAGTTCCCAGTGTATCTGTCCTCCATGAATTTGTGTAATTCAGTGGTTCTCAACCTTTCTAGAGCCAAATCACCCCTTACACACAGCCCATCCCTTGTTAGACTTAAGGAGCCCATAAGAAAATGCCAGATCCTAGTTTTCACTTGTTTTTTTGACTAGGGAAAAATAACAGCAATTTTTCAATTGCAAAGAACTCAGAAAATCATAAAAGGTCAATGTTTTTAACATGATGGATTCCTATCTCTGGGTGTATCTTGTGAATCATCTTTGCACACCTAATAGTGCTAATATTACACGGAACTCTGCAGCACCCTTAAAAAGATCTTACGGTACACCAGGGTGCCATGGCCTCCAGGTCAAGAAGCACCGGTCTAATCTCTTTTTTAATTTGGTTATATAATAACAGTTCCTTATTCACTTTATATACACACTTCATAACTTTTATAAACCCCTATCACTTCCCTCTTCAGCCTTCTTTCCACCTTGAAGAGTCCTAGCCTTTTCAGTCCCTCTTACTACGGAGTAATCTTTGTTACCCTTCTCTGTATCTTTTCCACTACTTCCTTTTTGAGATGTGGAAACCATAACTGCACACAGTATGCAAGATGTGGATGCACCATTTATTTATACAGTGGTATAATGATGTTTTCTGGTTTGTTTTCAAATTTCCTTCTTAATGATCCCTGACATTTTATTGACTTTTTTGGTCAAAATTGCTTATCGAGTGTTGTATACAGTTAATCTAACTTTGATGGAGTTCATCACAGAATTTTTTTTTTAGCAAGAGGAAGCCATTATGTTCATCCTGTTTGACATGCTGCAAAACAGAACCCAGAGAGCCTTGCCCAGGCTCAATATATTTTCTACATCAAACTCATAACTTCAGTTTGGGCTTTAGTTCTCTTTCAGAAAGATATTCAGTACTGACTTCAAGTGATGCAAAAACTACCATGTCCCTTGGCAAGGTCTGCTGACTGGTACTTACGCACACTACTAAACTTTGTGCCTTTTTGAGAATGAGGCTAGTTATACTAACAAGATGTTCCAGCAGAGTAACGCCATGGTGTCACCTATTTTACAGGTAAATGTTATATAGTAAAGATACCAAGACACATAATAAACAACATATTTTTCAATGAATGGAGTTTTTTTCCCCTTCCCCAATAATTTGTTAATTTTTTCTTTGTTGCAGCCATAGGTTACCAAAACCTCTTTGGCCAGAAAAACAAAATAGTCTCAAAATGTACAAGGCAGGAAATTAATAATTCTGAGGCAGAGTTTAGAGTTGTATCTGCCTAGCTTTTTATAGCTTCCCTCTAACTTTTTATTTGTTGAAATCCCTCTGATTCACCAAGCAATATAAGCTTACCAGCAGTCTATAGCTATAAAAATGAAAATCAGTCACTTTTATCAGTTAGTTGAAGATGTTAAACCAGCCTGAAACGTTTTCATTACAAGAAACTTTTGACACATTTATTCACAGATGTTTTCATTAGGGATCATCAAGAACCATAGTATACCACTTAGATTCAAGGTGTTCATTGCTCCAACATCTTTGATAATATTAGAGAAGGTGGAATACTTATTCACCTCCGGATGCTGCCACTATCAAGCACTTAAAGTTGTCTACCAACATAGGTCGCAGGAGTGCTAAAGACGTTTTCTGACCCAGGTTTCTGCATGGCAATACACACTGTTGCTGTTGTCAATGGAATAACAACCTCAAGTAAAAAGCTCTTTCTAAAACAAAACTACCCACAATGCTCCATCCCCCTAAGTAGGTAAGGTAAAGAATCGCTGCACCCTATTCACAAAACTTTATGCCAAGGAAACACTCCAGGTTTACTTTGATATCTTTAAAAACAAAATAACTGGAGAAAGGCTCAGCTAGCTATGTACTGAGGGGGGAGATTTGCTCCTGTAGGTATTTCTTATAAATTAGTCTTTTCATCTGTCTTAAAAGATTTTAACTGAATGTCTCTACATATCTGGACCAAGTTTGATATACAAATTTGGCAAACAATACTCTAAAACTGAAAGCACAAAAAGATGATGATAACCTTTGCATACAATAGGGAACAGGTTATTACCAGCAAAGTTATTAAGAATGAAAACACTATAGATCTTGTCTGAGAACGATATAATATCTGATTTAAGGTCTTATCTCAGAGGCGGGCAAAGTCCAAGCCACAGCAGATCCATTTCCCAGCAGTCCCTGCCTGCATCTCTGCAGCTGGTTTCCATGGAGACCCCAGCAGCTGCAGGGCCATGACAATAAGGGGACAGCATTTCCATGGAGACTGGCCCCAGCAGCACTGGTAGGATGCATAGCTGGGTAGGTAGGGAACTGCTCCAGGGCCGGAATCCTGTGGTGGTGACAGTGTGGTGGTGACCTGGGGCAGAATTGAGATCTGCTGCCTGCATGCCTCACATGGGGGTGTGCAGGCAGGGGATCTCTGCTTTGCCCTGGCTCTGGACCATGCTGCCACCACTGGAAGATCCCAGCCCCAGCCTTGGAGCAGCTTCCTGCACAGCTGTACGCACTGCTGGAACTGGTCTCCATGGAAACACTGGCCAAGTGCTGTCATGGCCCCGCGGCTGCTGGGGTCTCCATGGAAACCAGTTGCAGTGGTGTGGGAAGGGGCTGCTGAGAAATGGAGTCCAGCCGCTGATCGGTTCTACCATTTTGCCCTCTGCTGTCATATACTAGGAAGCTAAACCTTGTAGTGCAGGGATATCTACCATATGATCCACTGGCTGGATTCAGCCCCTGAAGCTGTTCCCCCTGGCCTGCAGGGTTTTTTGAAGGTACGGAATTTGGGGGTGGGGCTAGTGGGGGCAAGGCCTGCCCTAGATTCCAGGGTTATGCAATCCCTTGGCCATGGCCATTGGCATCAGGGGGGCGAGGGAGAGCTGTGCTGATATAGCCCCATCTGCCACACTGTCATTTGCCTTGTGGCTCCTTGCCCTATCACCTCCAGGTCTGGATCTGACCCACAAGGAGCCCCACAGTCCAAATCTGGACCATGGAGTAGGGTGACTTTGACACTTTTGCTATTGTAAATAAGATGAAATGAGAAAATCAGTGAGAAACTCGGTTTTGTGGTTTAGGTCTGTATATTCAGTGCTACAATTTTGTCTTAAAAAAGCAGAACATTTCTGAATGTATTTTAAAATAAAATGTTGACTGTTTTGTTTTGAAAGCAGAAAACAAAAGACTCATTGTGCTTACGTAAGAAGCAATATAAGAAATGGTGTTTATTGACAAAACTGAAATTTCTCAATATAAGAAAGATTAATACTAGGAAAGAAACTCAGTGACTCAATTTAGGCTACAAATAGAAACCTACAAAAGTGGATTCATTTTTCAAAAGGACTGAACCCCCCACTGAAGTGAACTGGACATAAGCTTGCTTTATGCACAGTGCTTCTGAAAATCAGGCCACTTACATTTAGATATGGGCCTAGAAACCTAGATTTAGCCATTTTTTAATACCTTGACCAAAGATAAAGGACAAGACTTTGTTTCTGAATGAATTGCTTTGACATTCCTTAAAATTGGCAGGTGGTCTGGGTAGGATTGAAGTAACCTGAGCAAAGCACTCATTAGGTTTAAATCTCTCTATCCTCATCGCACTATGAAGGGCAGCAAATAGGACACTGAAAAGGCTTTTCGTTCTATATTTGATTTTCTGTTGCTGTCCTGTTATTGTATTGAAAATATGTATGCATGCTATCTATTTATTCTCTACTTTCACAATAATTTAAAAAGAATTATGTGGGGAATTTTGTGGTCAAAGCCATTTCAGACAGCCTTTAGTTTTTGAAAGAAAGGGGTGGTGTTGAGGAGAGCCAGTCTCTGTGCAGGTCAGTGTCCTGCTGGCCAGTAGGCCAAAGAACAGCAATTACGTTGTCTTCCATTATGTCTGGATGAAAAGACCTACGGAAAACACTGAAAGAAGTTAAAGGGCCTGAGAAGAAAAATGGTGAGTTTATTAAAAAAAATTGTTTGAAACAACAAAGCCTTATTTGTTTCAGTGTTTCATCCTTCAGATAATTTTTACTGAATACAATACTGTCTGAAAAGGACACTGTAAAATAAGTTTAATTTTCACAATGGTAATAGCGTAGTGTGTTGACTAGATGTGTTAACCTTATGTTCATAATGACTGCAGTAATACCTGCTGGTAAGGGCACATGAACATCTGAGTACAACAAACAAGCCACTCATACTTCAGTATATTTCTTCTTTACAGATCAATATATGAGAATCTTACGGATCAGTTCATTTCCTTTAATGGAGCAAAAGGCAGCATGCTTCATAATACCAAAAGGCAGATATAACAAACAGCTATAGTGCTGCAATATAATTCTCACAAAAGGGTGAATAAAAGAAATTTCTTTTTTAAAATACATTGGCCTCCATTATTTAATGGCAGATAAATCATACTCACATCATTTGTTCTGTACTTTTCTCTCTGGCAATGTATGACCCAATCGACTAGAATATTTATGTGTTTGGTAAAAAGCACTGAGGTTTCGCTTTCTAGCCAAAAGGTCTTCAGAAGAACTGTCTGTGGCATGACTTGCAGCTGCTGTGAATTCATCTCTTCAAACAAACTATAAAAGAGAAAGTTAATGAAACGTAAAGTTTTATGCCAATTTGATTACTATCATTATTAGATAGATAACGTGTCTTGTCAAAATACACAAAGGTTTGGCAATTTTTAAGTAGAGAAAGATCATATGCTCTTTTTGATGAATAATATGTAAAACGATAAAGGTTATGACGTTAAACTGAAGGAACTCAAATGTGTTAATATAACAGATAGGTGGGAAAATGTGGATTTTTTTACTCTATAAAACAACCATGTATTAATTTTACATTTGTCCTTCCTAGCAAAAGATAATGTCTACACTACGGTTAAAAAGTTGCACGCAGTGCTTAGGATCTTTACCAAACTTTGCTAAGAATGAACATCTAAGAATATCAAAGCTAAAAACTCACTCTTATGAAATAAAACTATACACCTACCTACATTTGTAATGTATGACAAAATAATATATAAATCAAGATTAAAGGAAGAGTATTTTTCTAAAAACAATGAAAACTATTTTTAAAGAACAGAAAAATCCAGAAGAAATGTTTAGTAAAAACATAGCTAAAACAGCACTTGCAAACTTCAATGAAAGAGTATCACATTTTGGGAATAAGGAACACACTAAAAGCAGAATGCAAATCTACTGTAGATAAAGTAATGGGTTTGAACAATTAAACTTAAGGAGATAAAAATATTCTCCTTTAAGACTCACCTTTTGATCAAAGCCTCCACTTCAGCTTTCACTAAATTGAAGAAAAACTTCAGTAATGTTTTGTGAACCATTCTCTCCTCATTTACTTTTTCTGAACCTGAAACTCCATGACAAAACTTTTCACAGTATAGGCAAGATCTGAAAAATAGGCAGCAGAAAAATCTTTAAGACTGAAATGAGCTATGAAATATTTTGTTGAAAAAGAGATTTTGACATTTCAGTTCCAGCTAGATCACGAGCATCAAACTCACCCCAGGCCAGATTCAGATCTCAGGGGCTCCTTCTGGGCCAGATCTGTGATGCCTGCTTGGGCAGCAGTGTGGGTCCAGGCCGGGTGGCAGAGTGGGTTTGGGGGCATGGGGTAGCACGGAGCCACGTTAATGCAGTGCAGACTCAGGAGCATGTGTCCAGGAGGAGCCAGGGACATGTGGCAGTGTGGATCCATATTCAGCCAGAATTCTGTGCTGCTACTCTTCCCCCTCTTTATGAACAGATGCCCCTGACTCTGTGCTGCCCGAATGAGACTCTGTGGCACAACACGCCCCCCAGACCCATGCTACCACAAGCCTCTGGCACTGCCAATCAGCCAGAGTGCTGCGCTGTTGGGTAGAGGCCCAGAGCTGGGGCTGTGCAGCCACATGGAGCTGTTTGGGCAGTATGGAGCTGACAGCATCAGTCTGCAAGAAGCTGGGGGCATGCAGCAGCACAGAGCTCTGGCCAAAGGCACATCTGTGCTACTGCATGCCCTGTTGTGTTCATGCAGCCACATACCCCCAGCTCTGTGCTACTGCTCAGTGGCACAGAACTCTAGTCAGTCAGCAGTGCCAGGGTCGTGCTGCAGCGCAGAGCTGAAGTGTGCACTGGTAGCCCTGGATGTGATGGTTCCGTGGATGGTATATTTGACGCCCCAGAGCTAGATTTTGAGCACAGTGAATGTACAAAAGCAACCAAAATCAACAGTTCAAAAATAATTCAAAACTGAATAAATAAAACGGCCACATTATCTGTATTTCAAAAATGTTCTTACTTCCATGATCAACGATTCTTTAATGTGGTAAAAAGTTTACTCAGGATGAAGTCTGGCATGTATGCCATCTATTTTAATAGGGAATCGCTTTATATCCAGATAAAACGCAAAACAAAAATAACTATTTTTTTTAGCGCAGCAAGTGAACTCCTCAAAGCTGCAAAGGATCAATGCAAAGTATTGCTTCTTGCTTAAATTCTACGTTTTGCTTCAATTTTACATTTGTCTTTTGCTGTAGCTCTGCACAGAGTCAAATTCCATAAAAAGTAATTTTTACTGTAAATAAATTAATATGTTTCCATATTGAAAATAAATACATTTTAATCCACCGATAACATTGGAGGATATAGAGTTAGATTTACAGCAATATTTTAACATACTTGTTTCTGACATTAAATAATCAGCTGTTTGATCTCATGGGTTTTTATGGAAGGAGAGTGTTAAGGTTAACTATGGTTTTGTTAGGGAAGCCAAATCATTTTATTGTATTTAAGTATGTTTATTTATCCCTTGTATAAAGATCATTCCACACCCAAAGTTCAGGTACTTTATAAATCAGAACAGTCTTTCAAATCTCTAGCTATGTGAGGGAGAGTTCATACCATTTACATTAATCAAACTCTTGAGAGTTCTTGAACATAACACACAGTTTTAAGCCTAAGTGTAATTTTTTCTAGTTTAAAATATTGGGGAAATCTGACTTCAGCAGAATGTAAATATCCTATATTGAATAGTATTTCTTAAAAAATGTACCATTTCTATGGCGGCTATGATTGTTGTAACAGACAGCCCGGGGCTCCCTGTTACTTTAAGGAGAGAAACTGCAGTTGATAGAGCACAGACAGCTGACCTCAGAACAGCTTCTAGAGGGAAGGCAGAGAAGAAACACTGCTGCCTAGGCAGGGAGCTGCCCATTAGAGAAAAAGGACACACATACTGACAGTCAGGAGAAATTTGCCTAGGGGAGCTGGCAGCAGGGGAAGAGGCATCTTGGGGCAAGAAGCAATGATTGCCTAGTGCAGAACTAGCTGCCAGGCAGACTAGTTTGGGCAGCAAAGGGGTGCCAGAGCACCACTCATAAGCTGCCATGGTAACCAGCCTTCAGGCCCTAATGAGAAACTCCTGAGTGGCTAGACTGCCACCTGACCAGGAAGGGCAGGGCCTAGGCAGAATATAAGGCTAGGGCCTGAGCCAGTTCAGGCAGTCTGGCCCAGCAAGCTGCAGAGTAATGAGTTCCTGGTCTGGAAGGCTGCAGGAGGATACCTGGCTCCCTTGTGAGCTGCCCTGCAGATTATATGCAAGAGGCTGATGCCTTGCAGAGATATACCACTGTGGGTAAGGGCAGGCAAGGCAGTAAGCTAGTGTTGATGTCTGCACCTAAAGAGTGCATCCAGACGAGTGCGGTCATGCAGCATGCATCTGAAATGCAACATACCATACAGTCTGGTGTTCTCCAGGCTGCAAGGGTGTGCTGCCCAAGCATGCGCTGTGCTGTTTTTTTTTCCATGTTTTTTTTTTTTTACCTCTAGTATCCAGGGGTAAAAAAAAAAAAATGGTGGAAAAAAACCCAGCACAGCGCACACTCAAGCAGCAAGCGTTGCTGAACAGCAGAGCTGGGCAGCCTGGAGCTGCTGAAAACTGGAGCTGGAGCCATGCTTCATTGTCAGCCAGCCAGACTCTGCATGGCAGAATTGCCGTGGCTGCAGCCCCATGAGGCCTCTAGGACCCCGAGTAAGGATGCTGGGGCCCCAGCATCCCCTACCGCCCCAGGGTAACTTGTTGTATACCAAAGTGTGTGTGGCACAGGCATTTCTGAAGGACAAGTAGCTGCAGTGCAAAGTGCGCCACTGCTAGTTGTCCACGAAGAACCAAATGTCCATGCACATTTGAATGTGCCTAAAGTGGGTTATAGCCAGTGTGCCTATCTTATAGCCAGTGTGCTTATTCCTTGGTTAAAAATTACACTGGTGGTTTGGGATTAGGATTAATAGGGGTGGTACAGAGGTCTCAACAGTGCCTGAAGGCATGCGAGTGTCTTGAGCCTTGTCAGGGATTGGGGCTTGAGAGACAGACCAGGCTTGAGTTTACTCTATGACCCATTAGGCAGCCTCCCTTCTGATCAATTAAATACATCAAGGTATGGCAGGCGAGTGAGAAGAAAAGGGTACCCTAGAGGTGGGCAAGAGTAGCATGGTCACTAGGGGGTGCCATGGCTGAACCTGGGGCCCAAATGTACTTAGTACATTGCTGAGACATTTTGTCTAATTTAATAAATGCTTGAGTAATGGGTCCACGCCTTCCACAAATCTCAGGTGGTTTCTACTAACAGAGGTCACAAAGAGCAGTTGTGAAAGTTTATTCCCCAACACAACAGGTTGTCCGGGGTATTACACAAATGTCATGTGAAAAATGAAAATGCAGCATGAAGCCACATATTTGGCAAAGTAAGGCTAATACTGTTTAATATGCAACAAAACAGGTTATATATTACAGATTACTTTAGTTTAGCGGTGGCCAAAGTCTTTGGCAGGCATATCAGGAGTTAAGCCCAGCCCTCTCCCTGAGATCCACTCTGATCAGTGATCACCTCCCAGAGGCACACCTGACAGAGTTTGTGCCCTGAGGTGCTTGAATGGAGGAGGTGGGGTTCGAGACTCTAGTTGTGAGAAGCAGTGGGCAGAACACTACTGCAAGACAGGTGTCATCACCAAGAGTTAGATTAACCTGGCCCTGCAACCACTGCAGTTTGATATGGAAAATGAGGATCCAAAGCCCTGAATTTGGCAATGGCTTGAAGCCCAGGGGAAGGTTAACGTGGCTCTTGGCACTGACATCAGACACCTCCTCACATAAAGCCTCTGCTCCTTGAGGTTGGATGCTTGAGCACACCTATCTCCATTTCAGTGCCTTCCTTTACTAACTGCATGGGGCTCACATGCCACACAATAGCTGCCTGTGCTACTTGTGCCATGGGTTGGCCACCCTTGCTTTAGTTAATCAAAAGCTATGCAATGTTCAGTCATCCTGGAACCATTAATATACAGTAAATACTAAAAAGGGAAGAAATAGATGTATAATTTTCCTGCACAGTGAGAATCACTTGCAGTGCACTCAGATTTACTGAAATTTATAGTGAATGTTCAAAATTTGTTTCATGTACAAATTGCTATTTTAGTTACAGTGAATCAACACCGACTGTGATATTACTGAAAAATGACTTCTCTGTATCAGTGTTTCACTTCATAAGCAAATTAAGTAGTTTTTAATTAGGAGAACTTTCTCTGGATTAGCACACTATAAATTATTTCTACTTAACTAACCTTTTAGGAAAAATAATTTTCAATAATTTCCTTACCTCACAAGCATCTCTAATAGGGACCATGTTCCCTTCATGCAAATAGGACACTGAAGAAGTTCTAAATAGTATCTTAACATGGAAGGAGACTTCCAAGGAGGATCAAGTTGAAGAAGAATGTACAAAACGTGAAAAAATTTAGCAGAAAATACTGCATCTGTATTTCCCTGTAATAAAATAAAAAATAAAATTGATTCTCTAGCAACCAAAGATTGAACACAATTTTGAAGAACATAAAGTTTAGTCATATTCACCATAAACCCAAATAATCACAATCACCAGTAATTAGCATTTTTAAAATTTGATTTATATGCTTGCTTCCCAATAAAGGCACCAGATGGCTTACAGTAAAAGCCAGAACAACATATAAAAGAAAAAGTGAAATATTAAAATAAAATATTAAAAAAACCTCCCTATACAATACTGCAGTTTGATAAATGCCTGTCCAAATATAAAAAGCCTTACAGTGCTATGGTGAAGATATCCAGGCTTCAAGAGGGAGGGAGTTCCAAAGCTGATCAGTAACTACCAAGACTGACCTCTCATGTGTTTTCACCAAGCAAACTCGGTACACTGATGGTTTTAGCAGGAGGTGCTCTTACCTGACCTCACAGATTACAATGGGGCAGAAGGAAGAAGGCGGTCCTTTAGTTATCTATGAGTAATGCAGTTTAATTTTAACTAGCAAAAATGGTATAATTTGCATAGAAAAGAAATTAAAAGAAGGATAATTTGCAACAATATGGTATTCCAGGAGGACAAATTCAGTTCTGGTACAACACTGCAACAACTCTCATGAAACCAAATGGCATTTCCATTTTTATGCCACTAAGAAATTTGAAGTTCGTATAGTATAAATAAGCACACATAATTTATCTTGCACCCTCCTACTGGCTGTCTTGACTGTACAATCATTTTGATGCTTCTGCATGCAAGTCATTATTTCGTATGCTTAATGCCAGTTTCAGTATTACTGTACACTGCTTATACCTGTTTAGCTAATTTATATAACATCTGTAGCTCAGTTTAGCTTCAAAACAAATCCCAGAAGCTATGCTCCCTTCTTTTATGCTACATTCAATTAAGTTCCTATAAAAATTTTTGTTTTACAAATTTTGTCAATGTCATTTTACATTGGTATTTTTTTCACATTTTAATGACTGTATAGTGAAACCTGTACCAAGGAGAGGACGAGGGGGAAAAAAATCAACAACCTCATCTTAAATGACAACCTAACATCAAAGTTTCTAACAGTTTTGTTCAAGTTTCAGAGAACTCTTTCGCTATTATTAGTGAATATTAGTAACTTTGCTTAACACCAACACCATGCTTGCTCTGAGCAAGATACAATGGTAAAGTGAAAGCCATAAGTATCTTACATATCTTTAGGACAGTGGTTCTCAGCTCTTTTAGACTCAGGGAACCACTCGCTGGCAGGGGGGTGGCGGGGAGGCAGGGCAGGTGGCAGGGGGTTAGGCATAGGCATGGGGGAAAGGGGAAGAGTCAGGAGGGCAAAGGACAAGGGTTTGGCCCTGTTCCCCTGCCACAGCAGGGGTGGAAGGGGATGAATTTAAGATAACCATACAATTACTAGATTTGATACATGGGAAATCTATAACATCCATATAATTTTTCATGCAAGGAATCTAATTATAGTGGGGGGGTCATCTTGAATTCAATATTTTTGGATTTGGGTAGATACGATCTATTTTGCTAGAGTATTGGCTACATGGGGAAAAGGAATCAAGGAAAATTATAACTATATGAGTGGTTACGTCTACAACAAATTTAGGAACAGCAAATCCTGCATGTATTTAGGGGGGATGGACTAGATCTTCCTTTAGGCCGTTTTCCACTTTATGATTCTCTCATCCTGGTTTAAAACCCATAAAATAAAGCCTTTGTTTCTTACCTGTAACATCTGCTCTAGCAGAGAATGAAGATGTTGCACAGGAGGAATGGAATATTTTTGAGCAGCTGAAAGTTCTCCTATAACATCAGGAAAGAAATGTCCTTCTACTAGTCCTTCAAGAATACAAAATGTACCTCTGGAAAGGTCATTATTTTTAACCTAGGAATTAGATATTATTGTGAGTAATGGCGTAAAAGATGATTAATGAAAGCCTTTAAAAACACAGGATGGACTAGTTTAAAATAAAAACAAGTAGAAGTTTAAAGAGCTTAGTCTCTTTTGTATCTGAAAGGAAACATTTATGAGTCTCCAAATAAAATGTCTATTTCTTGATCAAGATAAGACACTTTTAAAGTAGAACTGCTTTTTTTGCTTAATTAAATTACTAATATACAGCCTGAACCAATGCGATAGCATCTTTTCGAAGGGAATCATTGCTCTTGATGCACCTTTCAGGAAGTACTTATTTTCTCAGAAAACACGGGATCTAAAATTACCTTTAAAAGAAGAATACTCAATAACTTATTCTCTAAAGGTGCAATCTGTAAGAGATTGTCACTTCTTTGTATTCTTTCTGTGAGACTGGTAGGGTAGTTGGACAGAATAAACTTCTAGAGTGATTAGGTGCCTTAAACTAATCACTCCTCACTGTGGAAATCACAGCAGTTCCCAAGGCCTGTCAATTTATTTATGGCTAGGGGCAGACATTACACACAGACCGGTTTAAGTGATCACAAATTGGTTTAAACCTGTAACAGAACAGATGTTCAGTGCACATAAATGGCCAAAACCAGTTTGAGATAAACCTGGTTGAATGTAGTATCAGACTTAACTGACTTGGCTCACACCAGTTTATACATCTGTCCCAGACCCCTTACTGGTTTAAGATAAATCAGACACCCCCAGCATCTCAGCATGCTCTCTGGGTTGGGAGGGGCTCTCTGCTCCGCGGGGTGGGGGGGGCCTCTCGGCTCTAGCCACAGGGCTGCCCCTGCCCCTCTGCTCTCTAGCCAGACCAGGGACAGGCCCTAGCAGAGACACCGGCCAGCATGGCCCTGTTACAGCAAAGTGGGTAGGGAGGGGGTTAATTCTTTCCTCCTTCCCCTCTTCCCCCACTGCAGCCGGGGTCAGCCTGTCTGCTGGGGAGCAGAGGGGAGAGGACTGCTGCGGTGGCCCCTGGAGCTGGCGGACCCCAGCTGCAGGGAAGGGACGGAGGGAGGAATTAACCATTCTCCCTGCCCCCTTCACTTTAACAGGGCCATGCTGCGTAGATTGTCTCACAGGGTGGGGTGGGGGGAGCTCTGTTCTGTGCTGGGGGGGACTCTTCCCCCTCCTCCTCCTCCCAGGGTAGGGAAGGGGACTCTATGAGGCACTGGATGGGGACTCTTCCTCCTCCTCTCCTTCCCCCCCCGCCGCTGCAGAGCTGGGGGGGGGGGAGGGGGGCTCCATGCAATGCTGCCTGACCCCAGAGCCAGGGCGGAGTGGAGGGGGAGGCTCTGTTCTGTGCTGGGGGAAACTCTCCCCCCTTCCCTTCCTCCCCCAAAAAGGCAGCGGGAGCACAGAGCTCAACTGGGCAGGGTGTGGGGCTGTGGGGTGTCAGGGAGGGTGGGGGGATGTAGGGACCCCCCCCCACACACACTCCCCCCATGGTATGCAGCCCCCAGGGCCTGGCAGCAGCAGCAGGTGGGAAGGTAAGGTTGCTCGTCCCCGGCACAGGTGCAGCTCTGGCCAGTGCTGCATGGGGGGAGGGAGCGGAGCCTGCCTTATCCCCATGGCTCTGCTCCCTGAGCCTGAGCCTGCAGCTCCAGCCCTTGCAGCAGGGGAAGACCCACACCCGAGCTAGCTGCTTCCCCTGCTGCCCACTATATAGATCCCCGTACTTTGCCAGGAGTGGAGGGAGCCCTGCCCCCTGCAGAGTCCAGCGCAGGGCTTCCCTCCTGCGAGTGTGGAGCTGCAGGTGCGGTGCGGAGCTGTGCTCCTCAGCCCAGTGCAGCACTATGTGCCTCTGTTGCAGGGACATTGTGCTGTGCCTGCAGCTCCATACTTGTACGGGGAAGTCCCGTGTTGTACTCTGTGGGAAAGCAGGGGGCGGGGCTCCCTCCACTCCCAGCAGAGTGCTGAGACCTGCACAGTGGGCAGAGGAAGAAGCAGCTGGCTCCAGTGCAGGGCTTCCCCAGCTGTGAGGGCTGGAGCTGCAGACTCAGGCTCAGAGCCAAAGGGATAAGGCAAGCTCCACTTCCTTCCCCCGTGCAGTGCTGGCCAGAGCCGCGCCTGTGCCAGGCATGAGCACCCAGACCTGCCTGCCTGCTGCTGCTGCTGCCAGGCAGCGGGGGACCACATGCCCTGGGGGGAGTGTGTGGGGGTCCCTACACCCCCCCTCATATCCCTACACCCTGCCCAGCTGAGCTCCATGCTCCTGTTGCCTCTCGTGGGGGGGAGGAGGAGGAAGGGCAAGAGTTCCCCCCAGCATGGAACACAGCCTTTGCCTGCCCTGTGGGGGGGGGACTGGGGGGCAGAGTCCCCCTCTGGGGCTCGGTAGCATCCCATGGAGCCCCCCCTCCTCACCCTGTAGTGATGGGGGAGAAGCAGGGGGATGAGTCCCCCTCTGGGGCCAGGTAGCCTCACAGAGCCCCCCTCCCACCCCACCATGGGGGTGGAAAGGAGGAGGGAGAAGAGCACCCCGCCAGCACCAAACTGGGCCCCCTCCTGGCCCTGCCGTGGTGGGGGAGAGGGAGGAGGGTAAAGAGTCCCCCTCTGGGTCTGGGCAGCCCTGTGTGCTCAGATTACTCCTGGCTGTCAGGGAGCCGCTGGGGCAGGCCTGCCAGGGCCTAGTCATGCCTGCCCTCCTCAGCTCAGCTTCCCTGTGAAAGGGAGGGCTGTTCTAGCACCCCCAGGCTTTTGGCTTGAGCCACTGCAGGCATGTGCCAAATGCCTATCCATGTACAAACTGGTTCACTCCCTGCAGGATAAACTAACCTACAAAGACTGAATCAATTCAGGCTCAGGCTTTTTGGTCTGTTCCTAGCCTATAAGAGTGAGTAAAATGGAAGAAAAACAGAATGCTCAGCTTGGGTATGATTTTTAATATAACTTGCAGCTTTAAAAAATAAAAATTACAGATAAATATTGTCTTTGCCCTCAAAGGTAACCAACTGTACTAGTCCTCTTTAGATACCCCAAATTGATGTTACAAGGAAGTTATTTTGTGATTGCCATTTAAAAGCTTATAATTTCTGTTTATATTAGCTATTTGCATGTAATTAACATCACAAAGGTATGAGTACTACTGAAGTTACTGCTAACAGCTAACATGAAGACTTTTGTGACAAGCATGCATGTGAATGAGAGAATCTAAAGGAATGAGAGATACAAAGCTCAGACAAAACGATTATAACCTTGAGTGAAAGAGAAAAGTAGATTGCCTGTATGAGAAAAAAGTATAGGAATATCAAACAATCAAATCTGAATATTTTTATATGAATATTTTTGAATTTCTAAATTTTGAAAGAAACCAAATCTATAAATTAGAGAAAAAGCTAATTTTTTGACTGACCTTAACTGTGCTTTCCTTTTCTTTCAAGATGCTTTTTTCACAGTTAGCCTGAAGCCTGAATTCCTCTGTTTAATATTTTTTATTTATTACTATAATATGCCCATGTTTTTAAGATACTAATATGGCACCTGAATCTCATATCCACTCTTAAGGTGAATTTTGAGCATGTTCTTAATTTTAAAACATTTTGGAAGTATCTGATATACAATGGGAGCCAGATTTATTTGAAGATCTGCCCTGTGGATCTCTCTGCAGCAAAATAGTAAAACTACAGTGGTAGAAGCTTTAGTGGTGTAGGGGGCAAGAGAATTAAGAAACAAACAAAATAGCGTAGAAAAATGAAACCTAGTCTAAATGACAAGAAAAACATAACTAGAAAATGTGATATACTGCATGTTCTTTTTGGATGTATTTCATAAGAATCATGGCATTCCTTGTAGCCTGAATGACTGCCCCCCTGCCCCAACTATATAATTATATATCTCATTCTTTTTCCCATGCCAAGATAATCTTAGCTGGAAATCTGTCCCTACCAGGAAACAAAACCTCAGTGCTGCAAAAATCTGTACCATCTACTTCTTTACTTCTAGTCCTAGACTGCTATTTCAGATCCTATACATAAAGGTAAGTGTGACCTTCCTTTGTGTCGCTCAACAGATCTGTGAAACTCTATAGGGCAGCAACATTTAAGACATTTTCTCTCAAGAAAGGCTGGTAATGCTAAGAACAAAGTTTTCACATAGATGATTCTTAAATTAATTTTGCGGGGTGAGGAGGAGGAACGGAAAGGAGATCTGATACCCAGAAGGTGATTATATGATAGACTTTTCTCTGTGGCTATAGGGAACAGGAAAAGAAGCAATGGTCTTAAATTGCAGCAGGGGAAATTTATATGGGATATTAGGAAAAACTCTCTCACTGTGAAAGAGGTTAAGTATTGGAACACGATACCCAGAGATGGCGTAGAATCTCCATCCTTGCAAGTTTTTAAGATCAGGTTAGACACACACTTATTGGGAAGGTTTAGTCAGGATCCTGCTTTAAGGGGTTTCCTGTCCAGCCTTATTCCATGATTCTATAATGAACTTATATAAACACAAACTGTTATTTCTCTTTTCAAGAATATTATGTTAACTTCTTTGCAGAGGAAAAGTATCTTAGAAAAACATTTAAGTAGTTTAACAGAGAAAGCAAATTATATAAGTTTGAAAAAAAATAAATTTATGAAACACCTGCTCCTCTCAAAAAGCTCATTACCTCTGTATTGCATCCATTCAATTGGTCTATTTGAGTAGACTTCTGTTTCATTTTCTGTAAAACAGGTGGAAGTCAATGCTTAGGCTGTATACTAGCAAAATATTACATATAATGCCACAATAATATGTGCATGTGCGTGCGTGTAAACAGTGAACTAGTGGTTCAAAAATTAAAAAGTAAATTCAATATGAAGAGCGAGTTAGCTTTAGTTTTTTGACAGAAATTATATTTTTAAAACTTAAAAAGAATAGCACTGATGCCCTGGGCAAAGAATCTAGGCTTAATTCTTTCATTCTAAACTGTCCTGCAGTTTCAATTAAGCTGTTCTTAATGTTTTTTCCCCCCACTTATGTGATATGGAATCAATGTTATTAATTTTTGGTGTACTTAAGCGTAGTCTTCAGCATCTCTTCTATCTTTAGTTTATCAATGGTGAGAGAAAGTTTCTAGATTTATTCTGCAAAATCCTGGGATCCTATGAAGTGAATGGAACTACATATATTTAAAGTTATTATTAATTACTACATCTAGCTAACAGCTACTGCTACAGTAGTGTCCGTGTGTATTACAAAAAACGTATCTTTAAAGAGTGCCCCATAGGAATACCAGGTTCCACAAATAACTTTTGCATTCAACATTTATTTATAATGCTTCTTTAAAATACCTTTGATATTTTAACTATCTACAGCTAGCATTGGGAGAAAAGGGTGTATGTGTCAAGCAATAAAGTGGGCCAAATTAAACTTGCACTACTGGTTTTGTAGTACTGTCCAACTGGCAGCCCATGAGGGATTAAGTTTATGGCCCTTGAGCTCCTGCTTAGCTGCCACCACCCTCCCCGTAGCTCTAGCTACAAGAGCATCTGGGCTCCCTCTCCCTCCTTTGGCTTTTGCTGCTTGCCCCTGCTCCATGGGGCAGAGAAGTGCAGCGTGGTGCAGCTAGGGGAACTGAGGGTGAGCCTGGGACTGCGTGAGCATGTAAAATAGTGATGGGGGGTAGATATGGGCACGCAGTGCAGCTCTGGGGCCGGGGGCACCTGCAGAAGTACAGAAGGGATATAGGGAGGATCCATGTAGTGTGTGGCCTGTAGAGGCCCATGGCTTGCCCTGGTGCGTCCCCCAGCCACAAAGCATTCAGCCCCTAGCTACTTAGAAGTTGGACAGCCCTGTTGTACAGTAACAGGGATAATTGTCTATGAATGGAGAAGTATAAAGTATACATTTTATTGGCTTAGCTTTTCAATTCTCTGATCTGGTAGCTTTGTGTTAGGGACACTATGAGTAGTAACCCTTATTGTTTAAGAATCAAGCCTGCATATTTTGGTACTGTGGAAATATTTACGCTTTTTTCATGGTAACTATCGCAGAAAGCTACTAACACATATTATTTGAGATCAATACACTGTGTGGTAGTAATGTGTACTGATTCAATCAAAATAACTTATACCTTATTTTTCTGAATGTGAATTCATGTACTTAGTTGCTAACAGACTGTTCTATTACAGGGCTTTATTACAATTTAAATCGGTGATGTTAAAACAATAGATAGCATTAGATGATGTTTTCCTTGAGGGAAATTTTCAGCAATAACAATTCTGTACAGAACTCAGCAGAATGTTTGTCTGCTTATGGACATCTAAAGTTTAAGAACATGTTAATGTGATTTAGTTAGTTATTAAATCAATGATAATGGATGCCAAGGAGGGCATGACAGGAGATGTATCCAGATATACTTTCTTTATATGCTCTCCCTCTAAAGTATCCACTATTGCCACTGTTGGAGACAGGCCTATTTACTGTAAGAGACTGGTAGGTCTAGGTCCACCAGGAAACTATTGACATTCCTTAATCAAAGGGAGTTCAAAAAACAGACCCACAGTTGCCCAGGTTCCCACTGGCTAGGGTCTCCTTACTGGTTTGGTAGATAGCTAGTTTGGCCAGAGTCAGGAGGAGGTTGACCCAGAGGTCCTGGGATTTGGTTAAAAAAAAAGGTGTAGGAAGAAGTGTAAGTGTAGATGTAGCCAGAACCTCAGGAGATTCCTGAGGAGGCAATGGAGGGGCTGCAGCCTGGAACATTTGAGGTAGCCATGTGCCAAGGTCTCCCTCTGTTCACAAAAAGGGTAGGTGGTGGGAGAGTCAGAGAAGTATGCCAGATACACACCTATGCAGATGGCTTCATGCAGGAGATGCCAATCTAGGTCCCTGGTGGCTTGTGGGATTAGGGAAGAACACAGGCTGGTCCACCAAGGACTCTTCCCCTTGCCAAAGGTGTCCCACTATTTGGTGTCTGGGCAAAATACCAATGGCAGCATGGTGGACAGTGTGGAGCATGAGTGTACACAGCTAGTGCTGGTTGGCTGTGCAGAAGCAGACCAGTTTCATAGCCCCCAGCCTGCTGAGCTGGTGTGTCAGACATGGAATACTGGGCTAGATGGATCACTGATCTGACTCAGTATGGCACTTATGTTCTTATGTCCTTAACAGGTAGTTATAGGAAAACTAAAATTTAGTCCACATCTTTGTTGGACAGTTCAAAACCAAGCGAAAATATTATCAATTTCTATTCTTAACGTGGACATTTCTTATATCCCCTCATACTCATTAGACTTGTACTAAACAATTACCTCCGTTTGTCAAGCAACCCTATTAAACTAAATACACTATAGGATTCTTAATCTTTATGTTACCATTTATTGTTACAATTTCTGAAGGCCTTGAGAGACTAGTTTTCATGGTTATACATCTGTATTTTGAGGAGAAATAACAATTCCCAGTTATTTTTTATAACCAGAAATGTATACAATCCTGTCTCTCACTTACCTGAGCAAAATACATATGCTTTATTAATGCATGTTTCATTTCAACAAGGTGTATGTCAGATTCTGTATCTCTGGCTTCTTGTTCAGCTAGACAAGCGTTCACATGACTATCTTCAACAAAATTTTGTATTTCACTCTGTGCAGGGAGAAAATATATTATTTTAAATTTGAACATGGCATTTGCAGACAACAGCTTAAAGCAAGGTTTCTTAGTTTTCTGTTTGTTCTTTTAAAAATGTGTATAAAGAGAGTAGAGGACACCTCTCAGGCTACTGAATCCAGCCCCTGAGCTTCCAGGTTACTTTTTATTCACGAAGTCCTAAAAACTGTCCGTTCTAACACCCTGCAACTGCAAAGCACAATACAAAACCAAAAGTGCCTTGCCACGTGCCACAGAAAAAAACCCAGGAGAGACAAGGATACTGCCAACGCCCTGCTACTGTACTTGTACAGAAGTCATAGTTTAATATACCCTCAGAGGATCTTAGGAAGAGGACCATGTTTCCTGCTTATACAGCAAAGCAAAGGCCATCCCCCCACAATCCTGTCATGTTTGACCCAAGGAAAATACTTACTACTGACCTCAAACCCTAAAACTACACTAGCAGTTTCATAGCCACACCACACTGCTGCTTAAGGATCTTCCTTTCATCAACCAGTATGCACAGGACCCCCTCTTCTATTGACTCTGGTCTGAGTCCTCATCTCACAGCCAAAATTCTTGTTATCAGTCCCTAAATTCATGACTTGGAACTTTGAACCATTTTTCTATATGTGAATTTCTTAAAGTGCCAAAATAATATGCTAGATTGACACCCTTGGAAACAGAAACCTTTCATCATAAAGGAAAATATAGACTGGGCAGCCATTAGTATAAAATACCTTCAAAATCATCCTTCTAATTTATTCCAGCCCTGAATCTCTTTCTGTGCTGAATATGATAGCTTACATTAAAGACTTGATTTTGTCTTTGATTTGCCTAATACCACTGAATCTTTTTATAAAGGCCACTAAAAGAAATCAGATTTCAATTCCTTTCAGTTATTGCCAACATAGGATGACCTGAGCTGGCAACACAGATCTTAAGTGTTTTCTATCTTATTAACAGAATCTCCAAGCTATTCAGTCCCTTCATTTTCTCTCTACCTTGGGAATGAGATATTTCTTATACTTTCCACAGCAGAGTCTCATTTTGTAATTAAATACTGCCCAATACACAATACTGTCTGTAAAGTTACATGAAGTCCTTTTGTTCTGAGACAATTTCAAATTAAATTTAAGAACACTTACTATATAATCTAGTGGGTGAGAGGCAAGAGGCCTGATTACACTAAGCTTTATATTTTACATTGGAAACCAACCGACTGCCAAGGCTACCTCCATAGTACCAGCTTCCAGTGTAAGCGCACCACTAGCCAATCCCTTTTCAACTGTATCTGCACTGTCACCGACTAGGATGCACACCTTAAGGATCTGAAACAGGAATTCCTGCAAATACAGTACAATCCTAAAACTATAGCCACTAAAATCAACAAACCCAGACTTAGACATCGCTTCAACCTTCTACAATACCAACCCCAAAACAGGGACAACAGAATCCCTCTGGTTTTCACCTACACCCCACCAACCTGAACGCTTTAAAAATTGGCTTGAACAGGAAATTGTGGGACAAGAAATCATTCACAGATTGGATTGTGTGAAGTATGGTTTTAAGCTGTAGTTTTTGTGATTCCTTTTGTTTCTATGTTTGCTAATCCCAGAACTGCCATCTCCCCTGCCTTCTGTATTCAAATCACTCCTTCCATGTTATATACTGGTGTATGCATATCCTTTGACAGCATATGATGTAGGGACCTTGAGCTCACAAAAGCTTATGGCATATCTATCTCTGATTTAGTCTATAATAATGACATCGAACTCATCCAGGCCCCATATACTGGGAGAAAGTCATTGGGCTGGTCTGAGGGCTGGCTGGACTTACAACCAACCCTACCCCCTGTGCAGCACCTGCAGTGACAGGTCCAGCCCCAGGCCTTGCCGTGCATGTGGCGTGCATGCAGCCCATGGTAAGCAGCCTGGACTTGGAGCTACAGGAAGCACAGGAGGTTCATCTGGGGTGCCACATATAGCATATGTCCTGAACACCCCACCATGCTGCATGCAGTGCCAGGTCCAGCCTGTGTACTGGGGGAAGCACGTGTCCCATACTGGCCCTGTGTGCTGCATGTACAGGGAGCCTTGGGGCCAGTATACACTGCATGCAGGGCTGGACTGGCTGCATGTAACACTGGGGTCTGGCACACGTATGCTGCACATGGTGCCCCACCCAAATGGCCCTGCATACTGGCTCCTGCACAGCCCTATCCAGACCAGCCCTGCAGCCACTGCACAGGGCTGGTATGGCAGGGTGCCCTGTGCAGCTTGCATCTCAGACCCAACCCCTCTGCTGCATGCAGGGTGCCAAGTCCAGTGATCCACGGACTGGATCATATGGCTCCCACAGGTCCTATGTTTGATACCCCTGGTCTATATGGCTCTAATCTATCCTGCCCTCTGCAAGAATTTAAAGCGGTTTTATAGTTTCAGTTAAAGTAAATATGCCTCCCAAAACGTGACAGCACATTTATCTCACATATTTCATAGGTCTTTAAAGTGGGACAAAGAGTTTTAAATCTGTAGGATTCCAGGTCAAAGGGCTTTTTCCTGGGAGAAATTCAACATCTGTCAAGAGAAAGTGAAGAAAGAGGGCAGGGAACATGACTGTGTTGAGGTAGTCTCAAAAATGCTGGTTACAGATCAATAACCATCATTTCTTCAAGTGGCCAATGACCATTCCAACTCCTGGGATAGTTTAAGAATCAATATGACTATCCCTGGACAGGGGCATAAACAGACCTAGTTTGAAAGCAATTCTAATACTGCTTTACCAACCTGAGCTTTTCATTTGGATGCCAGATCTATGGAAAAAAATGTTTTTTTTAAAAATTTTATTGGGGTGGGGGAAAGGGGAGAGAGAGGTTTGTAAGAATTGTGACTCAAGCTCCAAGTGGTAGTGCTACAGGTTTCTAAATTTGAAATAATCTCAAACTTTTCTGAGAAGTATATACAAAATACCATAGTCCATGCTATCAAGTGAAGAATATGAGGATCAGATAGCACATCAGACCTTTCTGCTGGGTAAACAGATCAGCAATTACCGAGAGAGAGATGTGTTAGAAAATCTGATACACCTATTGCTATCTTGCCCATACTGGAGAAATGTAAATATCCACAGCCTTGATTTATTTTTCAGATAACACTCAGAACAAAAGGAATGGTTAAAACTTAGGGGAGACATACTTCCTGTCTGCTAGAAATGCATCAGATGCAGACTGTCTGTTCTTATCCCCAAGAAGCATTTTGAGCATCTGTAGTTGTCTTGTGATTAGGATTTTCTCTTGACACACCCCAAGAGTGTGTCTGGTCACTTAGAATTTTTGGTTATTTGGAATCAGAATCTGAGGTTTGGGTTTAGTTGAGGAGATGGATGCCTTCATCATGACTCTATCAAGCTCTTTAGCCCTGAGGGAGTAAAAGCTAAGGCTAGTCTTTCCATATTTAGATGTCTTATGGACCCAGACCCATATTAGTGCTTCCTGGGACATGCTGTCCTGGAGAAATTCTATGACTCTAAGAGTGAAAGTGCTGTATATGGAATAATAAGATGGCAAATGACCTTCTCCAAAGCAGGTCAGACAAAGCACATATGTGCATGAGGGTGGGAATACTGTAAGGAAAGGGGTGAACTTCCAGAACCTCTGTTCACGCCCGCAATCCAGAACTATGGATAAGTACTCAGGCTTGGCACATAACGATACAAGTAAACTAGAACAAATGCATGCAAGGATGATCAAAAGACCTAACTCTGTGTTTCTCAACTTTTTTAGGCCGGTGACCCTGTTTTCAAAGCAAAGAGAAAAATTCTCTCAGCCCTTTATATTCAACCAGAAAAATAAAAAAGAATATGCTACCTCTATGCTGCTACAAATACTACCTTATGCCTCACAAACTTTATTCCAAGGTTATCTTAAAAATGTTATTTTCTTTAAAACTGCAATAAAAAGCTTTCAGTTTCTTGTGATTTCAACAGTTTCTCATGACATTGTTGTAAGACCAATAAGTTGGATCTCTGTTTCCTATATTATCCTCTAACAGACAAAAATTATTTCAAAATGTATCTATGCATAATCTTTTAATTACTTGAATGTGAATTTCTTTTAATAAAGTCTTTTTTCTTCATAGCATACTAGCTTGCTGTCATAGGAGTTGTATGCAAATTCCACACTATATGCCTATAACAGAAATACTGCACAACCTTTCTCTCTCTCGCTTCGCATGCATTCCTCTTCTAAACCTTATACAGCAGTATGAATTGTTCTCCTTTGGCAATCCCTTGCAGTTGTGGATGATTGTCTTCCATGATTGTCTTGCGCATCTTCGCTGATTTTGACTTCAGTAAAGGTGATCCCACTGGATGCATTTATCCAGTTAGGAAGAAGGTAGACAGATTAAGTGTAGGGCACCGCTTCTAGTTCCCTCCTCATGTGAGGCGAGCAGAGTGGATCCTGAAAAGGGCTGCTCAGTTGTAGTTACAGCTGCCAAATCACATTCCTGCCTCATCTGAGTGTTAGAAGACCTTCTTATAACTGCTACCTTCATGCCAGTTCATGACTAGGACGTTCCAGAATTCACAATGCTGCTCCCGTTGTCACTAGTTGGTTGCCAAAGTGCTTTAAAAAAGTGGTGGAAAAGTAATTTTCATAGAAGAAGCCTATGCATGATTGCTTTTATTGTGGAGAAGCTGCTGCAACATCTGCTTTCACATGGTTCTCGACAGAACAGGATCTTAATCCAATTGCAAGGAGGCTAAAAAAACTGGATATCTCATTCCACTGCACCCTTTGTCTGCCTTGACAGCTATTGAGATTCTAATGTATTCTTCTGCCTGCTCCAATGTTGAAGACTTGTAGACCCATGGCTGGGGGCTGGACAGGCTTATTATAGTGGTGACCTATACTCACCATGTCACAGCACTGTCAAAGGATATATGTGGCTTTTCAGGAGGAAACCATTACCATCTACTGTCCCCATCCTGGTGGGTGGTTGCTGCCACGGCTTCCTCCTTGACTGCTTATTCGTCAGTTACCCCTGCTTATTTCACTGCTAAACTTCCCTGAAGGTTATTCCTCTTTCTGCCACTTGTGGAAGCATGCGCTGGTAATGCTCTGCTGTCAGATTGTTCTTCACCCAGGTCAGGAAAGGCAAAATAATTTCTCCTCAGGATAATTAAGATGATTTAAAAAAATCAGTCCAATTCAGTATGAAATACATGATCTTGCAGAAGTCTAGACTCTAGTATGCTGAAGTGTTAAGTTTCACTCAGTGGGAGCTAGGTTTACATATTTCAAGTTCCCATGCATACTGCATCTCTAGAAATACACTCCCTAGCTAGATACAGAGAAGAAAATGAAAATAAATCTAGCAGAGAAGAAAATGAAAGTAAATTTAGGTCTTTCATATTACATTATGGTATATTTGTTGGTAAAAATTTCAAAAACAAGAGGCACCAAAAATTTTTGCTTTGCTTCACAAAGAGACAAATGTGAAAATAAATGTCAATGAACATCTCAATGTGGGTAGATTCAAAACAGATTTAGCATCCCAGATTGCAACAGTTATAATTAGACATAATGGTTCAAATTTACCACTGGGAAGCTGCACTTGTTTTCAATACATTTCTGAACCACTACAGTTGACCATCATTTTAATATGTTCTGTATAAAAATATAGCAGAATTTATGTGTGTGTATGGAGAAAGCCAATAGCTAATCCTGTAGCATGAAGGTACAATTTGTAATGCAAAGAAATGCAGTGTCATATTTAGGGGGAGAAAATCCTATTTCCAGTTGAAAATTCTGTACTAAAACAAAGACGTTGGGTAAGGAAATAGCATTTTCATATGGACGTTTGCCAATAGTCAGTCTCACTTTTTTTACTCGTGATTATTTGAGTTATTTTCATGCATTTCTCAGGAGGAATTGACCTGCAGCTCTTCCACATATCATGCAGGTTAACGAATAATCTTAGTACAATGCATCAGCTAAAGAAGCAATAGGCAGGTGGACACACAGAGAAGAGAGAACAAAATATGCATGGCTAGTAATGCTGCTACTGGACTGATCCAAAATACCCATTTGGACACACAGGAAAAAATGAATACACGGTCTTTTCAATGACATCAGAAAAATAGCACATACTATTTAAAAAGCGTGGTATTTTAGAAAGTTGATGTTCTTTAAAGTGAATTTGAAAAAATTCAAGTTGTTAATAGTGTATGAAATATTATGCTGATTAGTTACAATATACTTCAGCTTTGACACAAATTTACAGCCCTGCTAATGAAACATCACTTTCAGCTCATGTTTAATTTACTTACCTCAAGAAGATAATCTCCTAGATATTGCACAGAATAATATGGAGCTTCAAAGAGGTGTTTCTCTCTTTCTGTAGTGAAGCGTTTATTATCAATGAACAGATGAGTAATCTCTCTCTCTGCATTTTGTGACTGATATATAGTTGCCTTTCCAGCTTCTAGAACCCTATATCAACATACATTTTGAAAGATGCAGTTACTGTAAATATTTTAATAGTGGTTTAAGTCAATTTTAATGTTCACAACCTACAACAGAAACACAAAATTAACAGCAAAACAGGTTACATGTGAATTTACCTTCTGTATCTTAGACAAATCAGAGTCCTAAGAAGGTATGTAATGCACCTAGACGAAATGCTGCCCTTATTTGCTTCATGTGAGGGAATATCAAGTGGAGTGGTAGGGAACACCACGTGTATTTTATAAAGATCAAACTCTTATAATTAAAGTAGTTATGGTGGTTTAAGTGCAATATATCCCAAAGTAATAATTAGTGGCATTTTATAAGAGCCAAGTCATCATTGTAATGGTTTAACAAAAAACAGGATACTGTATCTTGAACTGTACCAGGAAATTTTTATAATGTATAGTATGGCATCATAAGTGCGCATGTGCGCGCACACACACATACTACTGCATGACTGTCAGTACAGTTCGTCCCACCCAACATGATACATAGAGACAGCTCGCCTAATGTTTCTGACATTATTACGCTATTACATACGACAGATCTTCCCAGTAGTTATCTTCCAGAAATGTACTGCTGCAGTAAGTTATGTTTCTAAGAAAAGATGACAGATAACAGAGGGGAGCAGGGGCAAAAGGACTCTTCTGAATTGTTGAATGCATATATTATGGTAAAAATTGGAGAGCCAAAACATCTTGGTCTCACCCACTTATAGATAGATCCACCAGTTAGAAGTCCATACTACGAAAAACAAGTAAGAAAAATGGTGCTGTAAAGGACAGGGGCATGAGAAAAACTAATCCTTTCTGAAAGTTAGTATTGCTTTACTATGACTGAAGGATTCATTTCCTAAAGACAAAAACATCTACCTTGCTATGTTTTCTCTATGAATAAGAAGATTTCATTTTCTGTAGAAAACAGTCTGGAAAAAATATAGATTACCTAGTACAAACAACTCCCAGTTTTATTGTCTTGCTGGTATAATGCCTGTTAAAAGTTACCTTTACGGTTAGCAATACAAAGGTGTATAAGACAGCAATTAAAGTAAGCTCTCATGAGGATTTGCAGCTGTTTAGGATTCCAGTGGGAGAATGGTATTTTTTAGAGGTAAAACATGAAGGTATTCATCCAGCCCCAGGACAGTGAAGATAGTAAACTCGTCCAATGAGCTATGGAAATATAATCTTTCCCTTCTAGTAAAGAATGCCTTGGTTGGAAAGCCTAGAAGTAGCAGTCTGTAGCCATGCCTCATCACAGCAAAGAAAGTAGAACAGTGCTTCTGTTCACTCATTGTGGGAGGACTCTGCAATGGAATACCCTAAGACAGGGATAGGCAACCTTTTCTGGCTGCATGATCCACCCTAGATTGGAGGCAGGCAGATGGGCAAGCGCTAGGACACTTCCACTGCCTCTGTCACTGCTTGTCTCCCTGGCACCACAGGGAAAGCACCTGCAGCCAGCTGGCAGTTCTCCCTGCAGCAGCATGGGGAGAGTGCCCAAAGAGACAGTGCTCATTTGTCCCTGCTGTCAGCTGTGGTAAAGAAATGAGAAAGATATGACCAAACACCAACGTGAGAGCAAGCCGTGCTCATAGCATGGGGAGGAGGAGTGATGGGCGCTGTTAGCAGTGTTCCCGCTCGTGCTGATTGGCAGGGGGCGGGCAGACGCTGCCCGGTTAAAAGGGGAGCGCGCCAAAACAACGGGGGGGGGGACCCGCGTAATATCAGAGAGGACTGATCACCCTCGCCGGAGGTCCTGTGTCCACGAAAACCTGGACGTCCCCATCACGATTTGGTATACCATCTGAGTATATTTAAGAGCTCCCGAAGAATCGGCGAACTAGATTCCTGATACAGCTGTACGAGATTGTTGCCTGAAATAGTGAGTAAAGCGATTTTCTTATCTCACTGCCTCCCCGGTGTGTTTCTGTCAACGGAGGGAGAGACAGAAGAAGAAGGAAAGGCCCGAACCCTTTTGTCCCCGACCTACTCGAGTGGATTGGGCTCAACCACCCATAGTTAGGCTGCACATCAGCCTGGGGAGAGTGCCTTCAGAAGGTGTTCCCACTGCCAAATGCTGCTGAAGCCCCGCACCTGTGGGCCAGATCCAAAGGTTTCACATGCCATAGGTTGCTGGGCCAAGCTCTAAAACCACAGGATTGAGACAAGTAGCAATTTACTTTCCCTAAGGAGAACCAAATCTGCCTATATACATCCTCTGGCATCAAATGCAGCAATAAAACTAGATTGCTGATTTAGGTAACAGCATCACAGGACAAACCTGTTTCTCCACATTAAAAAGAAAGAAATTATGCCACTTAATACATTAGACATTAATGGTTCCTCCTCTTCCCTCCTTTGTGATTTCATCATGACTCATCATTTGTGAATGCAAGCTTAATACTGTCACAAAGAGGTTTCGGGCTACCAATAAACTAAAGAAATATTGAAGGTGAAGGTAAACAGGCTTGAGTTTATTATGGCACAGGTTAGGGGATAACTGTACAAGGTGACATGTGACCTAAAAAAATAAGCTTATGTCAGAAAACTAAATTTGGTTTTCTAGAGGAAAATGCCATTGCAATTATATTGAAAGAAGCTGGGCTTAAAACGCTCAGAGAAGTTTGAGTAAAATAGAAATTTATACTAAGTTGTGAAAGTGAGTCTTTACAGTCCTACAAACACACAAAAATACTAAGAAAGCAGTATATAAACTTGAGTAAAGCCTTGCTTAGTAAGCAACAATCCTGAACTTGTACAACTCTTCAGTTTCTGTGGACTGAATTGTAAAACTATAAGTAGAAAATTTAGAATTGTAATAAGATGTTAGAACTGGACTGAACTAATTTATCCTTGGTATAGGGATACAGGCTTAACATTGCTTAAACCTGGTTTAGCTATATTTTACTGACCCCCTCAAGATATTTGTATCCATTTAATCACAGCAGTTTTAGATGTTAAGAATAGAGGGTAAATATACAGTAAAAGTTTTTGGTTTCCACACAGACGTCTCCCTTCCTCTGTACGCTTTTTCCCCCCTGGCCCTCATGGTCTCCTTCTCTGTCCTACCATAATATACCAAATATATCAATTTGTCTCTCTACCCTCCACTTTTCTATGTGTACATTTCCTTCTTGTACTCATTAATAAATCTCTGTATATCCATATCTATTTTTTATTCTAAATCTCTCCCTCACAGCAAAAAACCCAATACAGTAGTCACCTGTGAAACTGCACATGAACTACAGTGTTTACCCAACAACTATCAGGAGCAAAACCATCAGAGTAAGCAGGGTGGATTTGATTTAAATCAAATCAATTTAAATCACTGGCCAGGAAGCCTCAATTTAATCACTATTTTCTACAAAAAAGAGCATTCTTGTTGTTTGATATAACCTTTGTTCAAGGCTATGGAAATAGGCTTCAGGATAGTCAGCATATGTTCTACATATCTCTTTAGCCCAATGTTTTAGAACTTTGGCTATGACAATTCCATCTAATTTTTCCTCATTTTGTTCACAAATTGTCATCAGATTAGGTCAGTTTTCAATACACCATTCAAAACAGCCCACTACTGGGTTCCATCACAGTTAGTTTGGTTCCTCCTGCTTTCTTCAGAGCAGCTGCTGCAAAGTAGTGGTTATGGAAGTATTTTGCAATTTCAGCAAAATTCTGCTCAAACTGTTACTTTTTGTTTTGACTGCCCCTCTCTCCTTGCATTTATTTACAGACTCCTCCTCCTTGCCCAGATCTACTCCACCCCACCAATCTTCTATTCATTTAACTTCTTGAAACTTCGCACTTCTAGAGAGAGGTACAAGCTTGACTCTGTGTACAGGTAACTTTCAGAGAGACAAGAGGGCTGATGGGTAGGTAACCAGGTCTGTTATCTCATCTCCATATACTGCTGTTAACAAGAATGTTATCTCCAGGGACACAAATCCACAGTTTGAGAACTGAAACTAAGCATTGCAGAGATGCTTAATGGTACCTTCTTGATTGAGCACTGAGTCCCAGTGGGTAGAGTACTTTTCTTTAATCTAATCTTTACTAATCTGTAGAGGAGCCTCTGGGAACCCCATAAAATTGGGCTCCATATTCCATGGCCTGTTGTGACTTATGTATAAAACTTTTCTAAAAAGGTTACATGGATACATTGTCTCAAATAGTATATAATTAGAAGTTATAAAATCCCTATTTCATGATTATATCTTTGAACTTTAACATATCTTAAATTAATACAATCTTTATATAGATTTATTAAAAAAAACATTTTAACAAAAAGAATATGATTTAATTAAAAAAAATATTTAAATCAATTTGTTTGATTTTTTTAAAAAAATCATTGATTTTTATCCACCCTGAGAGGAAGATAGTGCTAAGAAGAACGACAGATAGCACCATAGAGTTTGCTTTCTGGAGTTTTCTGTTTTTGATGGATGAAATGGGTGTAAGGATAGACTTTTATTAGTAGATGGTAAGGATGGTAAATCCAAAAAAGATGACACAGATTCTTCCAATTTTCTGCCCAACTTAAATTCTGACAACCTGTATTCCAGTATTTCATTACTGTCGTGAATCAGAGCAGCCGCCGGCAGCTTGTCTGACTCACACACCGGAGTGTTTAGATTTAGAGCTCGGCAGGCGGGTAATTGATGGATGGAGTGGAATTAACCAGGCACAGACACGTGTAGGTTACAGGAGTTTGTTTACTTACGTCGCCTAGATAGTAATGATGACGCAGGCGAGCCTTTGTTCCGTTACAGCTTCGGTTACAGAGTTGAGTACACGCATATAGCTTCGGTTACAGAGTTGAGTACACGCACGCAAGTCAGGTTACAACGAGATAATGACGGACGTGGCGCCGGAATGAACGGTCGGGCTTGCAAGACTTTCTACGTCAATATTTTACGCTGACGGGGTGATTGATTAGGAATTGATCAATTTCCCAATTCTCTGGTGACAAGCACATGTGTTTCCTGTGAGATCCCCAGAGCTCTCCGACTTGAGCGGAAACCGTTAAACTATTTATAGGCAGAGGTGTTTGACAGAGATGCCCAATCGTGAACCGTTATATGGAATCTTTAATTTTTGGCAGGTGGCAGCTCTTTGTCTCCTCAAGTTACAAGGTAGTGGGTTAGGTTTTTCTACCTGTTACGTGTGGCTATGTGTGAGGAGCTTACGCTTATTTTTGGACCAATTATATATAGTTTCCCCTAGCATTTTATTTCAGCTGACCAATTATCTACAGTACTCTGGCCGCGTTTTGTTTCAAGGAATTTTTGGCAGGGATGTCTTTTAACCCTTAATCGTCAAAATGAGGATGATTTGAATGGTATCTCTTGCTCAGTGACATGGGCACAATTTAATTGGGTTGTGACAATTACAACTTTCTAAAACAGCGTAAACTTGATCGATAACGGCAGTTCATATGAGGCTACTACAAGAAGCCTTGTAAATCTCTAATTTACTTATGTTTAAACTTCAAGATACAGATATACAAGGAAGCCAAAAGACAGAAAACACAACTTTTGAAAACTGCTCTAGTCAACTCAAGGCAGAAATGGGGATGCAGCAAATCTCTTATTTTCAGAGTTCTATTATTTAATCTACACAACTTAATTTCATAGAAGAAAATGATATTAAAAAGATTCAAAAATACAAAATGAACAAGATTTTGCCTTGTTTTATAAATGGCTTAGATGAAAACTGGAGGACATCATGCGCCACTATAAGGTAAGCTTATACCCAAAACTCTGTAGTTTGCAGCATGCTTATTGCCACATTAATAAGATCTCTGACTGGGGAGACAGAAAGGTTTTGTACTCCCAGTCAGAGCAGTTTTGTATCGGGGCAGTACTACACTAACATTTGCTAGAAGCAGAAGAGGAGGAGGCATTATATAATATTTTTCATTATGAAAAAAATTAACAGACAGTTCACTTATATAGTAAAATTCCTTCCTACTCACTCATGTCATTCAGAGACCCAGCTGTGCCGGTGGCAACAGCTGGATGTGGTCCAAAAGGCACTTTCAACTTGCTTTTCATGAAAAAGTGCATGTATCTTAAAATATTGAAGCCGATCCCAATTTATTTTAAAACAGAAAGCAGATAGAAGCCTAAATTCCTGCCATTTCACTGTTGTCTTAAGTCTTTCTTCCTTCTCTTACCAGCCTCTTTTTCCCTCTCCATTTACCAAAATGGAAATAAGTTGGGTTTAAATTCTGAGGCTCCAGCTGTGTACCACTTTGAGCTCTTTCATAGGTGTATCATTATGAAAAGGTCCGAGTCAGTCTGATTTTGCCCACGCTCAGACTGACGGTATAAAAAAATCACTATCTCAAGCTACATCACCAGTTCCTTTAGCTTTCTTCTCTTTACCACTGCCCTTATCTTTCCTCTACATTTTAGGCAAACTGCTAAACGGTAAAAGGACATATTCATCTTGGCTTAATATTCAGTGGTGAATGTAGCTGCCTAATTACCAAAGAAGCAGCTAACTATTTCTCTGGATTTAAGTTAACACTGACTTAAATGGAAACAGATTTAGGTTCTTTCTTATTTTTAACAAGGTCTGCTACCTCACAGCTGTTTATTAAAACAGTTCAAATACAACCATAATGGACACTTTATCATTAGACTTTAAGATGGTAATTCCCAAAGAACTTTGGGAAATGGCCTGCCCTTTGAGGTTAAGATGTGCTATTATTCTAACATAGTCTTATCATACAACACAGT